TCCACTGGTTACTCTTAGACAGTAGAATTTTTTTGGGGGGGTCTGAAAAGCACTTGATTTGAGTTCTACACATTTTTTTAGTTGCTACTTGCTAGTTTTTCTCAGGGTCTGCCCCAAAGCCCCAACTTTGACGATACTGACAAAGTATAAGATAAAACATGTACGTAGAGTAGGAGTAGGAGTCTAAGGTTCCCCTTAATTTATTGTCGAATTGTGCTATTTGTGTTTGTACTTGGTTGAATTTATTCTTCTACTGTAGCGTTAAATTTTGAAATTTTTAACCAGTTGTTAACGAGTCTAATTTTTATCATTGTCATTGACATTAACTTGTTGGTATGGCGTTGATCATGCTTACGTGACAAAAGTAGAATGAGCTTATTTAGACAGTTGATAACATTGAATTTTTTTTGTTTATCTACGTGCCCTTTTTTTAAATTTTATTGAGAATCCTCTTCCTTTTTATGAATTTATCGGTGCTTTATATAATTTTTTTATTATTTATAAAATTCACTCTATCTCGCTCATTGTGAGCTTCCTTATTACTCCAAAATTCATTCTCATATCCTCGAAACATTGTGCTAGCCGTTATCTACCATCATTGGCCACCATTAATCAATATAAAAACTTTTCTAAAAATTTTTCGAATGCTCCTCTTCACAGTCTTAACTATTCAAATTTTCTTAAACAGCTTTTTTTTTTGCCTAAAAACCTTGAGCATTCAAATAATTAAAGCCTAAATTTATTTATTTCTTTTTTATTATTCTTTGTTCTTATTGGAAAACTTCACTAAATTCTCCCAAATCAAAATCCTAAAATTTATTAAATCTTTTCTTCTTGTAAATTTTTTACTGTCTATTATGATCTTTTGGTTGTTATTTGTTTTTTATGAAAATTTTAGTTTTTTTGTAGATTTAGGGCTTTAGTGATTGTGATAGAGTCGTGGTGGTAATTACGGGAGGTTTGGGAAGAACTTATTGTAGATTTTTTTGTCACATGAACAGTGGCGATGCTGTCATTCAAAAAATCAAATTAAGTTACTTCCATTGGCCATATTTTACACTACATATATTAATTCATTGTATTTCCAGTTATATTTAAAAAAAAAAAAAAAAAAAAACACCGCCTATAGTAGCATCCAAAAATGCCAAATAATTTTGTAAGAAAAGAAAAGAATATTTTATTCTTTCAGTTTGAAGATACCTTTGATAAACAAAACAAGTGAATCGTCAACGCCATCTCGTACATAATTTCCAGTCCGAGTGTCTGACACAGGGTTTTAAGAGGGATGGAAGGGAAGGGAAATATCAAGCTGATCTTAGTAAATTACCCGGGCCACGTGGATAAAAAAAATCTATGTATTAGCTAATTTGAACCATTTCATGATGAAGTTTGTCTCGTTATCAGGGTAATGTCATCCTCGCAAATCAACTTCTATGTCAATGAATTTAATAATAAAAAAATTATTATTGATTGAATCGAAATTTAAATCTTAAAAAATTAAAATTAATTTTTTAAAAATTAATATAAATATTAAATACGCAATCTCACCTAAATACAAAGATTAATAGTACAATTAATCATTTATGTCTTTTTACAACATTAATGGCAGTTTTGTCCTTTTAAATGAATTGGGGAGGAGGATGAATTGGTAAAACTGAATGATTGCATATATATATATATATATATATTTGTTGCTTGATTAATTAATGAAAGTGAATTAATGGACGTGATTGTATTATTCATTCATTGCTCGTTACTCATTACTGCTATCGCCAATGCTCCTGATATGGTAGTGGAAGGTAAGGACTGTGGAGGCTGGAGGTGGCCTTTGTCCACGCGTGTGAAATCACGTGGTTTTCGGCGTCTGACACACTTTTGTCTCGTTCTGAGCAAAACCCAAGCTGTCTTTGCATATGGCTTTCTGGCCAGGGACCCACACAAGAGAGTCCATGTCGGATACAGTGAACTCCGATGTGCATCTCTAAGCTGACGAAGTGGTAGCATCAGTCCGTGTAGCTTAGGACGGCGTTACTCTCCCAACAGTTTGAAGCCACGTAAGACAAAAAGCCCGTGACCGTACTACACGTGTTGTTGGAAAGAGACCAGGAGAGTGGAAGCCACATGGTGGAAGTGATTATGTTTGAAAGCTGTTTTTGATTGGACAATCATGCACTTAAACAGAAGGATTCATCAGTCCGCTGCGAAACACGTGGTAACATATATAATGAATATTGGTCCAAACATCCAAAACTCCCGAAGGCCTAAAAAGAAAATATCTTTAGAACACCTCCATCCATCCATTCTTCCTCCTTATTCCGCAACTTTATTGTATTTGACTTGATTTAGTTACTAGTACATTTTTTATAAAATATCTTCGTATCTTTGAATTTGTTTGGAATAATGCTATCCAGCATCCATGGTGGGTGCATGAGTGTCCCCTTTTTTATGACACTACTACAACATAAAACTCCCCGCTAACTCCAAACCAAAAATTAATCGCATCAAATAAACGCTTTTAATCTCAAGAAAAAGTGAATTCGTAATAATATCCAAAAAAAAAAAAGCATATTCATCAGCATTATATATATAGATACATTTAGATATATATATATTGTTAATTTAGTACGTATATCTTTAATTTAAAACTACTTTTATATATATACTCTTTCAAGGAAGGTATATATTTGATTGTTTTGCATTTTGAAGCGTTTTTTCAGTCGCAGCAATGAATGTTCTTTATTGATCTATCTATCTATTTATATATATATATATATATTATTGCAAGGTGTATGGGAAGTAATGGTATAATATACTATTTATTTATTTATTTATATTATTATTATTATGATGTGGTAGGGTAAAGCAGCAAAGACTTTCGCAAGGGTGGAGGAGAATCCACCAAACAGCTTGCAGACGGAGGACTGCATGCAGAACGATCATTTTCAGTGGTGGAGGGACCCTTCCCTAATTCAATTATATACATAGTCTTCGAAGTAAACATGGAGGAGATAATTAAGGTTACTGCAAAACAGTACTGCAGGCCTCAACAACTTACTGTATGGCCATAGAATGTGCGTGGGAGGACCTGAGTATCGATCACTCAAAGCTGCGGTTCAGCACCATGGGATCATCAAAAGTGATTTACCAATTAAAGTAATTAACTAAGAAGACAATATATAATTGGCATGCATTTGGCAGGAGGTTTTTATTTTGTTTTTCCTTGAAAAAAAAAAAAGGGTTGCTTGAGAAAATTCAGATTTCATCAGACTAAGAAAATTAAAAAACAGTAGTACTAATTTTAACTTTAAAGGTTCTTCTTCTTCTTCTTCATTGCCTTCTTCACCCTCTTTCTTCTGATCTCCTTCTAATTTCTCTTCTTTCTTCTCTTCTTCCTTGTTTTCTTCATCCTTCACTATGGATGCTTGCTTTCTGCTTCTCTTGTATAAATCACCAACCAGCTTTGTGCGATCTACAACGCCTTTTATTATTACTTTATCATTTCCCACATCCGTTTCCACTGACTCTACCCCTGTGATTAATTAATGCATTCCCAAGCAATAACTTCGTCAATTAGTCAAACCAATCTTTACTAATTCAATGAATTATAATGCAATGTAACAAGGCTGACCCTAATTAAATTACACCCTCCACCAAAGGTTTTCTTCCTCTTAAGGTCTACTTGTCTGTTTTTCTCTTTCTTCCCCACTTTTGGGTTACAGGCGAAACAGGTTTTTATCTTAGGGCCGGGTAAACGACATCTATTTGAACAACCAGATGTCCCTTCAGCACAGACATCACCTGAATCCTCCCACTATAAAGATAAGCAGCCCGTAAGATGAGACAAATGGAAAGAGAAAGCATAGTAGAATTGAATGAGTGATATGAATAAGGATTATTAATCAAAGTATGCAATGTAATGAAAAGAAAAATCAAATGAACCTGTAAAGCAACGGTAAAAGCTCATTCCAAGCTTTCACAAAATAATGCCAAGGCAGGACACAAATAATTATATAGCAATTAAAATATGGAAAAAGAAAACATAGCAGGAATGAATGAATCAACAGGGATTACTAATTAAAGTATGCAATGTAATGAAAAGAAAAATTAAAATGAGCCTGTCAAGTAATGGTGAATGCTAATTCCAAGATTTAACAAAATAATGCCAAGGCTGGTAAACAAAAATTGATTGTCTAGTAATGACACTAAATGTAAACATGTGCACATTCATGTACCCACCTCATAAGTGCAAGCAGCACCACTCCTTTCCATTAAGCACTTTATTATGTTAGATGAAAGCTTGATTTCCTTGGTTGCCCTCCTTAGCTCGATCATGTAGGCTTTGCAGTAGGATTGACAGATGGAGCAGGAACACTCTTGTCCATCTGTGGTCTTCTCTCATGGCCTTAACATGAAAACTTTTCCTTGCCATGTCTGGTGGCACCCTTTTAGCTTGAGGAGGTTCTATAGTAGGATTGACAGATGTTGCAGGAAAACCCTTGTCCTTAGTAGAACAAATGATGAAGTCCTATGACCAAGATTACCACAACTAAGCTTCATTTGGTAAATACATTAATAAGAGGCAAAATGCAGACGGAGAAATGAGTCGAATCATTCATACACACATTCTTCGGCCAACAAATATCAAAGCTTTTATACCGCAAATTAACCATACATAGCATTACATAATCTCCGGAAAACAAAAGTAAGACTTTTACCAGAGAATCCTCTAAATCAGGGACCAAGAGGCTTGTTGCTCCCGGAATCCTGTACATTTCGAAGTATTAGGGGCAAGAGCGGCGCATAGACGAAGGGGTGCTCTGGACAGTAACGGGGAAAAGGCAGCTCGCATGGAAAGGGAGATGGGAAGGCCTTGTTCGCAATCGATTTGTTAGATGATCTTGAAGGAATCAAGAATCTCCTCCTGAACGAACCCATCGGCGGTTAAACAAGATTTATTTTTTTTTTCAAACTTGTACAAGAAGTAGTAATCGTAGTAGTATTAGTAAATCAAAGTTGTTAAATATAAGTGTCGTCAAGGATTAATACTTTCGTTTTTCCATGTCTTTTAGAGTTGGATGAAGTTGGAGGTGAAACACTACTTTTATTTCGGAAGATAAGCTGAAATGCTAGTAGTAGCCTAGTCTAGTAGGACTATAAACAATACTTAAACCACTCCATATTTCAAAGAGCCTGCCTAGTACCTATTATTTATTATTATTATTTCGTTTCATTCCTGCGGCCCTAAAAAAATAAAATCAAAAGATGAAAACAAAGGTTGTTGAAAATAAACTTAGTATTAGTACTAGTAGCAACAGCTAAACATTGATGTGATATGATGTGATGTGATGTCAAGCCGGAGCAATCCCCTTCTTCACCAGCATATCATAAACTCTATCAATCTTGCTTGCTTCCATCTTGAACAAGCCACGAGCATCAGCTTTCTTGGTAACATTGCCATTGAAGATCTCTTCCGAAATGATCTGTAGCATCCTCAGGTACAGAGGTGGAGGTAACCGAATCTCACCGCACAGCCTCTTCTCCTGCCACCAATCCGACACAGCCATCATCAACACTTAATTAACTCCTATACTACTGTAAAGTATGAGTGTATCAAGGTTAAGGATATCAACACCAGTAAAATAGCAACCTCTACTGTACTTTATGAATCCTGTTTGTTTAAAACACACCTTCAATTTCAAATCAGATGAAAATCTATCAGTTCGGAATAACGTTCTTACAGTTTCAGACAGTAACTGGGTTTCCGAGAAACCCATTATGTCCAAATCATTAGCATTGCTTGAAGAAGCCTGTGCTATTGGTCTTGAATTTGACTCCTTGCCTACAGACTCTGAAGCCATGAATGAGTTTGGGCCCCCATGCCCACTTGGACCACCCTGGACACCATCTTTTGCTCTCTGACTACTCTCTTCAGCTTCCCTTTTCCTTTTTTGTTCAAGATATCGGTCTGCCTCAGCTGATGTACGACAACCAGCTACTTGGGCTTCCTGCATAAAATTATTTCCCGTGACAACAATCAATGACCATATTATGAAAATTACATACTTATGTAAGGTAGAAGGAAGGATTAAAAAGTAGTCAAGCAGAATAGCGGGTTACAAAAGCAGCAAAGCCAGGCATGAATAATACCTTGAGTTCTTCAATTCTTTTTAAAGTCCGGTGCTCAGCAATAACAGTCTCAAGCAATTCGTCATGTTCTTCCTTGGAATGAAAGCGCATGAAGACATCATAACGTCGGCAAAGTGCCCTCTCCTCGGGAGATAAGTTCTTCTCAAAAGGATTGGGATATAACAAATTTCTTTCTAGTATGAAATCCTTCCTACGCTTCCTCTCATCCAGCCTGACGGTAGATTTATTTCAAACATGAGGTAGAGAATTTATTGCACACATATTCATATTAACTAATATCAGAATTTTTTTTTCCTAGATGAGAAACCTAAAAGGGTATCAATTGCAACAGAACACAACTTCCAAGAGCCAAAACGTTTCAAGGCATAAGTCCTTCCCCAACCCCAACTCCCCTTTTATTCTAATGCAATTTTATTCCTGTGCTAATATGGGCTTTACTTTTTGGCATCTTACAAGTTTATAAGGGCAGAATTAATTATCTCTCCAGCATGAATCAGATTACCAACTGCCTACCTCTTTGAATAGATACGCAACACTCGCAGCTTAAGTTCACGCTCTTCCTCTGTATCAGTGTCTTTAAATTCCATCTCAGCCAGTAACTGCTCAGCATCATTGTCATACTCTGGATCAAACTCCTGCCTTTTAGGGTTGTAACCACTCAACTCAACTAAAGATGGACCGTCATTTCCCAAAGAATTTGGTTTCTTTCCCCCAAAATTTCTGTCAATTTGAGGATCTACAGGACAATAAGAACAATGAGTTAAATACTGGCATTGCAATATGAATATTATGATTATGGCTTCATCCTCAGATAAACTAGACTGGCAAATAACAACAATTGCTAATGTGAAGCAAGTATCATATAAATGTGCCAAAACTTAATCCTTTGTCATGTTCTCTAGTATGTAAATAGAGAAACAGGAGGCAGTCTTTAAGAATGCAACTTTGACATAGACTCAAAGACAGCAAGAGACTCATTAGGATGACAACATCAGGCTTTGATTTATTGGGTCATTATTGCAAATGAAGTCATCATGCCAACCTGGTCATACCAGAAGTTCTTAAATGGTGTAACATGTACAAAACTATGAATGGCTCAGTGGCAAATGGCTATATATTAGAGGAATAATGATGGTAAAAGGGAACAGAGAGAAAGTAAAAGATATCAGACCTTCCATTTTAACATTGCCATCTTTAACCTGGGCCATGTTTGATACCTTCTTAACAGCAGCTGATGCTGTACTGCTACTGCTAGATCTTACCCCAGACTCTACATCTGAAGTTTGCAGAAACAAGGCAGAGAGCACAAGGGTCACAGTGATGAGATCATTTGTGTACATATTGAACAAATCACAACTAGCTTGTCATGAATAAATCAAGAATCTTCCAGCAGGAAAAACAAAAAGAGTATAATAATATATCAAGGCTTACCTGTATTTAAGGCAGATAATAATCGGCCAGAACTACCGCCTTCAACTCTGGGTAAATTAACAAAATTCACATAAGAAATAGCATAGGTGAACAAAGATGATACAATCAGAGAGGAGAATGGTAGTCATACTTGACTCTGGAAGGCGAAAAAGGAGATTCTTCTTTCACGGGAAGCTCCCCTAGCATAGAAGATCCTGAGACAATCACAAGAAATTAATGACAAGAATTTGCATTAACAAAAGGCATCAAATTATAATTAAGAAAATTTTCTGTAGCACATGTAGCCTGCCTCAAACCATGTTCACTCTTGCTAGCTTCTCTAGAGATAAAAATTATTCTACCATGTAAGTGCATGATAATTTCGAGCGAAAACAGAAAGAACATGAACCCAGGTCTTAGCCCAAATGGTTCACTTACCTCTCTTAGGAGATGGATTCCTACAAGGCTGGGGTTCAATCCCTAGCACTTACAAACTTTCATTCCCCAATTCCCCCTGAGCATTGGACCTCATTTGTATCCAAAAAAAGAAGGAAAGAACATACCATTGAAGATTATAGAAAGGAGAATAACTGAAAATTGACACTAACCTTTCTTGTCTTCGGCATGCCCTTTAGCCATTGCAAGAAGCTCTTTTCTATTTTTTCCAACAACATGAGACATATCCTTCGAAGAAGTAAAGTTGTCAAAGCTTAACTATATTCATCGAAAGGCACAACTAAAAAGAGATTCAATAGTTTTAAACTCTCATACCGGAAGAGGGAAGAATGGGGACTTCATATAAACATTACTATAGTGGTCAATGCACTTTTCCTTACTCTTTGTGCCCACATGCTCAGCAACTTCTGCCCAGTTTCCAAGGCCATACATTTCAATTCCCTAGAATTAGAAAGGTTAAAACAGAATCAAGATTGATTTCCTTAAATATTCCGCATATGAAAAGCAGTACGGAACAAATCAAGAAGGATCAAATAAAACTTTCTTCACTGATTTAACAATGAGAATGAACATAGAAATACCTCTAGAAGCAACATTTCATCATCTGCATTCCAGTCAGGACAGATAAGGGGATAACATAAATTGTCCTGTTAATTAAGACTGTTGTCAGAACTGAATCATAACGTAACCAAAGCTACAGCAACAGATATGTGATGCAGAACAAATAAGCAAGAAAAATTAAAATCAAGAAATAGGAATTGTTTCAATACTGCTAAATGGATGTAAAAGATTTGGATAACAGATTTTCCAGCACAGGAAAAAGTTCAAAAAAAGCCTATTCATTAAGGACATAAACCAGAAAAAAAAAATTGACAATTTAGTAAGTTATCAGGACGGGAAAAAATGTTTTCAGAAGGCTTTTACTAACCATGACCCTGTAAGAATGGTTGCTTTTATGAGGTGTAACCTCAGCTCCAACGGAAAAGCACTCTATACATAGGTCGAAATCAGGACAAATAGCACACTTGATACGGATCTTTCCTGTGATATCTTTGTTGCAATAATTGCAGTGGAATAAAGCCCTTTTCCCTTCACTTGTTCCTTGAACTAGCTCCAAAAAGGATATAAGATGGAAAATAAAATGGAAAAAGGTCACAATAGCTTGTGAATGAACAAAGAGAATTATCCCCAAAGGCTTAATAGTTAAGAGTAAAATGGTATTCTGAAGAACAAAAGCATTTAGCATTCTTAGGGAGGGCCAATAATTTTAAAATAATAAAAATTCATCAGTACCACGCCCTCTAGAATCTAGATAACAGATAATAGCAATAATATGCATCTAACCATTTATTAGAACTTTTACACATACAATATATGCATAGCCAATCTGCTTTGGGTAGAACTATGGGTCAATTTTTGGCAACTCTAGCCAGGTCTCAACTAGAGATAGAATATTGCAAAGAAGAATATCAACCAAGTGTTATGAAGCGTCAACTTTGTTAAGTTTTTGGCTGCACACTCTACATTCAGAGGGTATTTACCCACTTAAGGTTCCACTAGGTCCTGGAAGGGGTGATCTGGAAGATTCCAAATATTTAGAAATTTATTTTTCTCATAAAAATAAAATAGCAACTGTTGTCTCTTGAACAGCTAGACAGCTACTGCACTTGTAGTGTAAGACTTCTATCATTGCACAAGAAAATGGCCTTTGACACACTGTCCATAATTGCACTAGTTTTAAATATCCATTACCAGATAAAAACACGGATATGCTGGTTATCTCATTTTTGTCATATGATTGCACCATAAAAAGAACTTTCTGCTGCAAAATTCGCTCTAAGAGGGATTGCATTTTGAAACTACATAATGGTGGAAAAGTACCTGAAGTTGAAGATTCTAAATTTTCTCCAGCAGAGGCATTCTTTTTTCTCCTTGATCTGCATAACCAAAAAAAGGTATTTAAATGAAGCATGCCAAAAAAGAGATCTGTGAATCCTTAATTAACTGATTTTATCAAATAATAAAGATAAAGAAAAAATAGTGTTAATCCACTTAACAATTAATTATTACACAAACGCAGGGGGAAAAGTTGAAAGCTGTCAAAATAAAGCATGACAACAAATCTCCATCCTTGGTTATCATAAAAATTCATTACAGCAAGAGAAGTTAGATTTCTCAGTATGTAAGATTCACCATAAGAAAGAAACCTTTTAGTTAATGAACTAAGAATCCAGTATAATTAACTGGCAGATTAGATAATCAAATCCATTAACAGCAACTAGAGGTAAGAAAGAAACCTTTTAGTTAATGAACTAAGAATCCAGTATAATTAACTGGCATATTAGATAATCAAATCTATTAACAGCAACTGGAGGAGAAGAGAGAAAATTAATTTATAACAGCTATTCTGACATATAAGATTGTTGTAGTAAATAAATACATGATAATCATAACCTCTTTCAAGTTATCACTTTATATTCTCAGAATCATTAGCAGTAACGAATTTAGGTGAGTTACATTCCATCTTACAACGTATTTGAACACGTTAGTAAACATTTTAGTCATGCCCTTGTGTTCTTTTTTCGACTCAGAAAATGAAGTAACTAAAAATGTAACAGTTGAAACTCAAACCAACAAATCCAATTTCTGTAAAGTAATCTTAGGCCTTCACCATGCAAGCTCAAATGCAGATAACTTTGAACGACAATTTATGTAAAGAACAGTACCTATAATTTAAGACAATGATTCTCCAAAATGGGAAAAGAAAGGAAGAAAAGAAGGCAAACCTCTGAGTGGGATCCTCATCAGCAGAGTGAAAATTCCCGCGAGAACGACCCATTGAAATTTGAAGTTGAGCGAGCTCGCGTTTACCTGTATAAGTAAGTGTTTGTTTTGCTTAATAGCAGCAACAACAGAGGTTGGTATTAATACAGCAGAACTGAACCCTAGTTTCTCAGGAAAGTGTGAAACTTTGACGAAGAATTTTGGTAAGTAAGACCAGCTTGCAAAAATAGGAAACTGAATTTGATGGGTTTAGCTCAATTTCACAGATTTCCCTTTTTTTTTTTTTTCAATCCTTGTCGGGATGAGTTGTTTTTCTAAAAATTACCATGGAATCGGTGAGGATGTCTATTTGCAATAAGTATCTTAGCTTTTTATGCTTTTTTTTTTTTAACAAACAAACTCATGACTGCTAAAACAGAAACTGGTTAGCTGAGTTTAGGCTGTTTTTTATTATTATTATTATTATTATTTATTGTCTGGTTTTTATACGTTCCAAAGTTGGGAATGAGGATTAGAAAGGCGGGGCGTTTTTGTTAGGAAAGAAACAGCGAGCGACAGGTTTTTTCCTTTGTTTTTTGGTTGGTACATGATTCCCTACCATCTTTTCCACTCCGTCGCTCACTCAGGTCCGCTTACTGTCTGAAAGTACGTAAAATCCATTCAAGAAAATTTCATGGGGTTGGGCTTTGGAGTTGGGTCAGTGTGTATCAAACGGACTTCGCTGCATATCATTTTAATAATATTTGATAAAAAAAAAAAAAGAAAGAGCAAATGATATTTGTTACTTTTACCGCTTCAAAATAATAATATACAACTTGATGTGGGTTTAGATTTCAAATCATGCCTTTATTGGAATGAATATATCCAAGATTTAAAATTCATTTTTTAAAAAATAATTTTAAATATGAAATACAAAAATAATTTAATTAGCTGAATTTAACAAATCCAACTACTTGGAAAGTTGGCAGTGGATTGGTCTGAAGCCAAATCCAATTTTTTTTTTTCCAAAATGATATTTTGGATCCCAAAATCCTTAAGTAATGTGGTTTAATTACACATAATATTAAACAATTCATTGATCCATATAAAGAGAGAGAGAGAGAGAGAGAGAGAGAGAATTTTTTAAGTGCATGCGCATGCTTTGTAAAGGGATATGGGATATGTACCTTTAGTGTATTTTCTTTTACGATTAGAAGAGGGAGCGGATGATCCCTTCTGCTGCTACTGGAGGCGTCTCATTGATTAAATTATTAGAACCCAATCTTGTCTTTGAAACCTCATCATCCCCTTTATTTGATATCTCCAAAGCTATCAAAGTTGGTGCCCCACTCATTGCCTCTTCATCACTCAACTTCTCACCCACAGTGGATTGCCTTTCTGCAGTAGATGAAGATATTGGTTCCATTTCCGAAGGTCTTATATTAAACTGATGGCCAGTGCAGAAGACTTTAAGAAAAGAAAGAGAAAAAAAAAAAAAGAGATGAGAAATTTGACTGTGGGAGCTAGCTGTGCATGAACTAGAATATATATCACTTTGGCAGGTTAAGGGAGCTAGAAAATACAATAAATCTCTGCGGTGTCTTACCATTTAATTACGAATTTTTATAAAAATTTCTAAAAAAAAATTTAACGATCGTTATCACAGAATTTTATTTGTATTCATAAGCATTCTTATACATGTTAACAACGTTTTAACAGTCATTGAATCACGTGACACAATACATTATTATTTATATTATAATAATGCCAACAACAACAAAAATGAAAAAGAATGAAAAAGAATGTAGATTTATTGCCTTAAATGCATATTTTGATTTTATTTAATTTGAAATTATCTCCATTGTTCATGCTTTCTACTTGGGTCTTCTTCTATTGTAACTAGTTGTTGTGATGCATATGCCCCCCCTTATTACTAGTAGTATAAATACAAACCAAGTGGTAGGACTTTGTGAGGTTTTGTTAAATTTTCAATTGAAATGCAAAACATAAAGGAGTGAAAGAAGTAATATTTATAATAGATTCTAAACTGGGGTTGTAGGGGTAACTTGATTGGGAGCTAAAGTTTTGGACAATATTAGAGAAGAAGGGCCTAAAATTGTTGGAAAGAAGTAAAATGTTTGGTTGGTTTGTCACTGGTTTCATATTCTATAACCTCTGCCTGTGCCAGTTCTTGTAGTACTCATTCATAAGCTTTGATTTACACACTGACAATTTTGACTTATTTTATCATCAATTCCTACGTCTATGGGATTTTGTTTTTGTTTTAAAGGCAACAAGTTCAATTAAAAGTAACAACCCCGCCCATTCCACGCCAAATACCATTTTTGAATGCAGACAGCGCCACGCAGACTACGTCAGCGCCTGCCTTGAATCAAAATTCAAATTCCATTCACAAAAATCTTCTTCACTTCACTTCACTTCTTCTTCCTCACAGCTCTCACCTTTCAACTGATACGAAACAAAACAAAAGAAAAAAACCAGTTTCACTTTCGCAACCTCAACCGAGCATAGCCACTTATTAAACCTTAAAACGACATAATTTTCAACTGCTTTTGTTCGTGTAAATGGCAACGCGCTACAAGTCGTTCGATTCACGCTCCTCCACCTCCTCTCATTTCTCTGATCCCTCCTCATCTATAGAGCTTTCCAATTCCTCTTCTCTGAGGCCAAAATCCTCTTCTTCTTCTCGAGCTCTTGTGAAATCAAAGCCGTTGGATGTAGGTCAAGGCAGCCGCATCAAGACCAAGGCCGCTGACCGCAACTTCACCAACATGGTGAAGAGATTTATGGACAAGAAATCCACAAACAACACAATGGCGCAGCTGGTTATTCCATCCGATGTCCTAGCTGAGGATCTCAAGAAGACTGCAAGAAAGGCTGCTGCTTTCACGGCGTTGCAGAGGAAGCTGTTCGGGAAAGGGTCTGCCGGCAAGGACGGGGATAAAAAGGAGGTGAAAGCCTTGACGGAGGTTAATGGGAATACTAGGACTTTGGCCATGGTTTTGAGAAGTGAGAGGGAGCTCTTGAGTACCAATAAAGAGCAGGAGATGGAGATTGCTGAGCTCAACCTTCTGCTTCAAGATAAGAACAGAGAGGTAAGCATTGAGCAACCCCCTCCGCCCCTGACCATATGATCATTGCGTTATTAATATTTAAGACTTTGTCTTAATTTAATTACCATTAAGAAATGCAAAAATATATCAGATTAAATTGTAGGCAATGAACCATTGTTTTTTTTTTTCTAATTTTTTTTTATGCCCGAGCTGAGATGTTAATATTGATCATATATATTTGCAGGTTGAGAAGCTGAAAGATTTGTGCTTGAAACAGAGAGAAGAAATAAAATCATTGAAGAGTGCAATACTGTTTCCGGATGTCATGAATTCTCAGCTTCAAGAACTTGTAGAAAAGCAAGGTTCGGAGCTGACGCAAGCCAAACAACTAATCCCGACTCTCCAAAGACAGATTACTTCTCTCACAGGACAACTCCAATGCCTTGCTCAGGATCTTGCTCAGGTTCAATTCTTCCAAAATATTCAATATCAAATTATAGACTAATTAATGATACTATAATCGAATTTTGTTCTGGATATTATGTTCAAAGGTTCTATTCTGACCAAGAGTTGTTAAAAGATAGTATATAACTGTGGCTATTTATATCTTAGCTTCAATAGGGAATGATGCATTCTCATAGCATATTCTTGATATCAAATTAAGGATGGATTTCTGCTACTTTCCTCGTAATAAAAGTCTTAACCCTCTTTGCAAGAGAATGCAATGAATTTGGTATTATCAGCTAGCTTAATTTGTTTGATGTATGGTATGGAAATTTTCCGGGCAATAACTATCATAAACAAAGAAAGAATATCATTTCAAATAATTAAAAACCATTACAAGTATTCCTGTTGTTAACATATGCTTGAACAGGTGAAGGCAGATAAGTATTCTGCCAGGGCATGTCACCAGCAGCATTGCAGCTCTCCCAGGACACCCAGATATCATCGAGATGAGCCTTCTGATTCTTTGGTAAGAATTTAGATACTATACCAGTAAGTAATACTATTACTGATTAAGTGTAGTCACTGATTTTATTAGTACCTGTCCTGCACTAGTGCAGGGACTGTTTTCCTTCTCAACAGAAATATTATTAAACTTCGAGTATTTTCTTTCACACTTTAATCTCTTGGAAAATCGGAAAGCATGACCCAAGGAGGTTATTACTCTTGACTTCAGTGCTTCTACTAGTAATAATGTAATGAACAAAATTTCAGGAATTCAGTTCTGGCGATCCAATTTCTCCTGGTAGTCCGGATGACTTATTTCTCGAAGATTTAAATCCCTGTTTAACACCCTATTATGCCAAGACAAAATCCAAGGTAGATGACAATCTTAATACTTTTAATGATGTTCATCTCCTTTAGCAGGTAGTTCTTCCCTCCAGTAATCGTAGCTACATTGAACATCTTGCAGGAATTTGATGAGATTGGCTATAACTCTCCACATAATAAAAAATTATGTGAGAACAATAAACAAACGATCAATTATGAGGTTGGATTCAGTTCTCGTAACAAGTTGTCGAAAAGTTCAGACTGTTACCAGGATTCCAATAGAGGAAGCTCGATGGCCCTGACCAGTCGCAGATCAGATGAAAGCACAGGCTCATATCGAAAGCAAATGCATCATAAACCTTAAAAATTGCTTAGTAGCAGTCAGTTGAGCATCTCTTTTATTTGTTTTTGAATATTTTTCACCTTCTGCTTTTTCTCCATTGCACCTCCTTCCTGCAGATTATGGATCGTAGTTTTGGTTTGAGTGAAACTTGTTAAGCGCATCAATAAGGGAAGAATTTTATTAAGTTAAATCGTTGCTGAGGATACTGGTAAGGTTGTGGCCTTGTTGGTGGGGCTAAATAGTCAATGAAATGTAGTAGTCATTTCTTTGTTGAGCTTTCCAACGGATCTCCTCTTTGTTATGTTCTTCTGAAACCTTCCTTTCCTCGAGCATGCTCTTGTCCGATCCCATTCCCATTTCTTTACACTTTAGTAGAGACAAAAATTGCCAATTGAACATTAGTTACGGGACAGATTCTTTACAGTCGCAAAATTTCTTGAAAATTTGGACCTAAGTAGAGGGATTGGGGTTTAAAGGGTAAATTAGAAATTTGATTTTTTTTCCCTGGCTTTATTTTGACAAGCATCTGCCTGAATAAATAAATCCTCACGTAAGAGTATTTAATTCCAAAAACGAAAAAAACAAAGGGTAAATGAAAAGGCAAATGCAATTTAAGGCCGCAGCTCGTCCTGCTCAACCTTCATTACCTGCCAAAGCTGCCGATCATTGATGTATCACTTGCTCAAGGAGTTTTACTGATCCACAGTTCAATGATGTTCATAAATAATTAGATTCATATATCAATATCACCCGAATTAAACCAGACACGTACAATTATGTCACTTCATTAAGTAAGAATCCATACATATGACTTTGATTTTAAGAGCAGGGAACGGGGCACCCCCTTCAAGCCTGTTTGATCATACAAAGAACATGAATAACATGCTTTAATAAACCCATGTACAATACCACAGGGGGCTTTATTTGGACCAAAAAGAATAAACTATGTCTACTATCAAGTGGGGAGAAAGGAAAAGTAAGAGCACAAATCAATTCTTTCTTTTTGTCCAACCAAATCTAATGTCTAAAACTAAGCATATACGCATAAGAGAAAGATATGGTCATAAACAATTTTCTTAAAACAAATTCTCTCTTTACTCTATCAAAATTGGTCTCCTTGAAAATGCAATTATGAGAGGAAGAAAGACCAGCAGCTATGTTCCACGGCTGAGAACATGCACTCAAGAAGAGTCAACAAAGGGAAGTTCCCATGTTGAACAGGACCAAGATGTTAGAAAGTATTTACCAATTGTGCAACTGCACAGTGATACTTTTTACAACAGGGTGGTATCCCGTGTGTAACAACCTTCTAGCTTTTTCTGAACCAAGGTGCTCAAGCCACTCATCATACAAGCATTTCACCATAGGTTCTTAAAAGTATCAGCTTCCAAAACCTACAAGGCATAAAGAAGAATCAATTAAGGCAAAAAAAAAAAAAAAGAATAAATGGATAGCTTATCCCTACAGAGAACTCTTAAGGAATTCAAATATATATTTCAAGAGAGAGCGTGCGTGTATATGCATGAAAACATTAAGCTTCATGTAGCATTTGAAATTAGTTCACTTTTAGCAGTAAAGCATTGCAAGCATAGTTAATGCTTTAATTGTTGATGCAAGGACATATTTAGCTTGATGAATTATCTTCAGTTTTCCAAAGTTGAGAATAAATTCATAACCATTGACAGAAACACACATTTTCCATGTAAATAGATTCTAATGATTTGATTAACTCCTTTGGAGGTTGTCCTGGCTTTGGCTTGATTTGACCTCCACCATTCAAGCAACCTGCATATATTAGCAATGTCTAACTGTTATGCCTAACCTGTATTTCCAGTTTCTTATAATAAGTTACAAGTGAACGTATCAAACCCAATTCAATCTCCAAAAATAGAAGGACACAAGGAAACAAAAACCTGAAGGACAAGCCATGACCTCCACATATTGATAATCACATTTCCGTGTTTTAACTTTCCTGACAATGTTTTGCAGGTTCTGAAAGCCATAACATTGGGCAAATTTCAGCACAGTTCTCCCCTCCACCTACATTGTGGATAATGAGGATATTAAACTAAAAGAATAACATGTAGGGTTGAAGTTGCTGCCTTGAGTTTTCTCATAAACTGAGAACATAGAAAGGGCGTTCCTCAGCTCAAGTACATGTTTTATTTATGCTTGAACTTCTTTAGTGATTCCAAAATACTATCAAATTAAAAGCACAACTTACTTCTAGATTCAATTCTCAGAAATCAGAATTTCTTATAATTCTGAAGTCCAGCGGGCCAGCAATTTCTCTTCCAAAGAGAACTTTTGCAGCATACCGGAAAACAGTTTCAGCATAACCTCCGGAGCCTCCATAGATACCATAAAGGTGTCCTTGTTCATCAACATTTGTCAAACTGCAGAATGATAACAATACTTTTTAATTGTAAGTAGCAATAAGCAGACAATAGAAGGTCACTTTAAGAAGGATAATTGTGATGCTTGCATTCTATCTAGAGGTGACTCTTCCAAGGCTTTAAAATCAACTTCTTTCACCTGCAAAAAATAAACAACTAAATTAAAAAGAATAATTAAATAAAGCATCAAATAAACAATATAGAATTGCTACATTAGAATGCACAAGGAAATTAATATAAAGTGAAACCCTGACTTCACCTTTATCAAATCTAAAACTTTTCCAGATTTCAAGACTGAGTCAACCTCTGTGATACAAATGCCTTCATTTGCATGGCTCCCATCATTAGATTCCACTTGACAAACAAAGTCCTCCCTGGCAGCCTCAAGCTTCTTATCATAACATGGCATCACCGTTACATGGTAAATCTCCTCCAGCCTATCAATAAAATAAATAATCTAGTCATTCAAGCATTAAGGATAATATAGAGTTTTGACATGCTCCATGTCCTTTAATATTCGGATAGTTTAAAGATACAAAACTAGAAATTAAGATACCAACTGAAGATTGGCCCTCTTTATATGTCAGTCCACAGATTAAAAGTAAACATTTTATCACACTTAAATAGCAGTAAAAAAAAAAGAAATGGGGGTGGAGAGAGGCTCTAAAGACCAACATTGAAAAAAAAAGGCAATTCTACCAATCCTTTGCTTTACTCATTATTTTGGAGGCACAATAAAGCCTATGAAAATAACTTCATACACGTAAAAACAAACATACACTACATATTATTCCATTTTCCTTTTCCTTTGTTACTATGTCAAACAAATTTTTTTTTTTATTATTATTATGACCTTCAATCTTCAGTTCCCTTTCTAGTTTCCCTTCTGGCATTAGATGGATGGGAGACTTAGTAGTGTTAAACAGTATGTTATAATCCAGAGGTAGCCACTGAATTTAAGAAGATATAAGTTTTCTAAATAAAACTATAAGAGAATTTCTACTCATGCAAGTCATCTGAAATTTAAAAGCCAAATATCATTACCAGAATACATTACAAGTGTTAGGTTGACTCTGCCAGCAGAAATGTTATTCATGGCACAATCATGATAAAAAAAGGCTTAAGTAAGATTTGTAAAATGTCGGACAAGCAAGACTACCTGAAACCCATTGTTTGACATATGTGATGCCTAATAGCAGCTCCCATTGATTGCTGGGGACTCTTTACTGAGGATAAGTAAGGCAAATATAGGACCCAAGTTGTTTTTCAGCATAGCATATCCAACCTGCAATTAGAGAAAGATGCACAGAAAAAACACTTCTGGTCACAAGAATCCTAGATATTATTATGACAGCCCGGCCATTGTCTTCTTCTACACATATAATACACATGTCCGTGTCATCATGTACATTATCATTTTAGAGTTTTAGGGAGAGAATAATGCTATTAAATGAATGCTAAGATTTTACAGGCAGATGTATACCTGGACATGATGAGGAGAACATTGGGAATGTGGATGTATTTTTCTTGACATCAGTTGCTTGGCTTTGTTTATATCGAGTAATGAACTCAAAACAAGTTTCAATTAGCATTAAGTCTCTACTACTAGTATCAAATACAAACTTTACTCCCAAGGACTTTAAAAAAGTAGTGAGTTTCTTGAAAACCTGAATATGAGAATAAAGAACTTCCATAATTAGAAGCATGCACCAATAACTCAAATATCATTTTGGGAACCTTTCTTTTACTTCAATAGAAATGAAAACAAAACTATAAATAACTTAGATGTTGGGAATCTTCTGGGTTTGTAGCAGATTTAATCAAAAGGAATTACAGGTTTGGTAGGTGTGCAACGTATGTACTTATGTGCCAAGAGAAAATTGATTGATTTAACCCTCCCTGGTTTTTTGTTTCTTATAATGGGAATGTAACAGAAGAGTATGTCAGGGGTCAAGCTACGCTATTCTTTTTTGGTTTACAGGTAGCAGCGCATGAAAGCAGAAGATGCTTTAGATTTTTATTAATCTCGTGCTCTACAAAAATTAGAGTTGAAAGTGGGTTGGCAACCCCTTAGTGCACTTCAGTGATTTGTTAATCACCTATCAGCAGAAAAATTAATAGGGGTATGTTATTCTCACAAATCAAGAAAGAAGGGTAAGGGGGTAAGGGGGGATGCCGTTTCTGATTTTCTCTCATACCTGTAGTGGAGGGATGCCAAAGTGAGCTGCAAGGGAGGCCCTTGACTGTGGAGAAAGTGATACAATTACAGCCAGCCCTTTATTAACATAGGAAAGGAATTCATCTAAGCTTTGCTTCTCAAGCATCACAGTCTCTGCTGAGGTTATGCACCCACTGCAACATCGCAAAGAAATTACAAACATGCCTTCAATGTAAATAACAAGTGAAAAAAGTTTAAAGCACTTATCAAGAAAACAATTGGCGGTCATAAATTAGGAACTCAACATTCGGTTCTTGTTTTATTCCATTTCACTAGCTTCTATTCATGTTTCATTTCTAATTGTAATTGGCACAAATTTTTAGAATTAGCGTTAAAATATACCCTTAATATTAAAAAATGAACAACATAAGCAATTTTAAACCCTAAAGCCACGAGTTGAATACAGAGGAAGACATTACCTGCATGCCAAGCAGTCCTTGAGTGAAATTTTTACTGGTTCAGATTGCTTACTCTTACCAGCTGAAACCTTCACCTTCACTCTCACCTTCAGCAAAGTATTTCAAAAACGAAAAACGTAACCTAAAGAAACGAATAATGATTCTCTTCTATCACTAAATAATTTGATAATTACTGGACTTATATAAAACATCACAAAAAACAAGCAGCTAAAACTAAAATTAAAATACCAAATTACAAACTAAAAATTAAATCTTGCATGTGCATCCAATTCCGAATCAAATTTAAGAAAAATAAAAAGATTGATAATAGAGGATGGAAATGAAGTAAACGTATAAGTACCGGAGGTTCATGTTTGATAGGGGTTGCTTTCAGTCCTTTAGAGAAACTACGAAGGCTTGAGACGGAGCTATGAAATCGGTGAGATCTCCAATTCTGAGAGTCGGCGAGAACTTCTCCGACATCGCTTAATTTATCAGCACCTATGTACAACGCCTAAATTAAATTTCAAAGTCGATAACTAAAGCTGCGAGTTGATTCGAAAATCAATTTTTAGAAAAAAAAAAGAAAAAGTTTAGGCATTTTTTGGAGCTTGAGGGAGTTTGGAATCGTTTGGTAGA